AGACTCACAATGTTATGAAAAGTCAAAGAAAATACTGTAGAGAAAAATGACTTGTCAAAGACCACAGGATGCCCATAAGACTATCAGTAGATTTCTCAGCAGAAACAATTCTGAGAGGCTGTGAGATTTTTGTATCCTGAGAGTATATTTAAAAAAAAAAAAAAAGCAAAAAGTAAAAACCAACCAACAAAAAACTCCACAGAAGAATTGTTTTTGGCAAAAACGTCCTTAAAAAATGAAGGGTATTTTCACAACATCTGTGGTCTATTACAGCAATAATCAACAGATTATTCTATTTAATTAAAAGAAAGAGAAATGGTTAAATGGACTTAACAAACAAAGCAATCAAAAAAGGACTGACTAAATGCTATCAGTACGAACCTTTCTTTAGATTTAGAAGCAGACAGCCATAGAGTAAAATCATGGAAAAGACAATGCATGTAAACAGTAGCCAGAAGTGACTCACTTACACCAGGAAAAATACACTTCAAATAAAAATTGCCAAAGGAGACAATGTGGAACCATAATGTAATAATGATAAGGTCAGTTCACTAGGAAGATAAATAAATTTCTCTCTCCTTGTCCCTTCTCTCTTCCTCCAACATTAGGTCTCCCAAACTTAAAAATCAAGATCAAACATTGATACAAGTGAAGAAAAAAATCTAAGCATAGATTTCCACATTCCACTTCAATAGCAGATAGAAGAGCGGCAGGTGGAAAATGAGAGGGACTAAAAGCATGCTATTGGCGAAATATTTAGACATGCCCAGAACAGCAGACACGTTCTTCTTCTTAGGTGCACACGTAAAATTCTCTCCGCCATATCACACACTATGTTGTAATCTTCACAGACTTAAGGCAGCCGAAATAATTTCACTCGCAGTTTCCAACTACAGTGCTATAAAAACAGCAGAAGAAACTATGAAGAAACTGGCCCTACTCTTGCAACTCTTTGAACCAATGTTTGAAGAAGTGAAAAGAAAAAATGAAAATTATCTTGATACAAATGAAAATAGACAAAACTTAATGAAATCAAAAGTTAGGGGATGAATCAAAAGTAGCTCCAGTAAGAAATTTTGGCAATATCCATCTACAGTAAAAAGGAAGGCAACAATAATTTTCTGAATTTTATGTCTAAACAAGCTATAACAGGAAGGAAAGAACTAGAATACAAGAAGATATGGAATAGAAAATAAATGGAAATAAATGGTGGACTCTAAGAAGTATTTTTCCCCAAACAAAATTGGTCAATATTTAGTTAAAATAATAAATGAGGAAAGCACTCAAATAAAATCAGAGGTGAAATAACTGCACTTGATGACACTGAAATTAAGAAGTCTCTATGAAAATAGTATGATCTAAAAGAAATGGATGAACCACTAGAAACATAATCATCAAAGTTTAATCATGGAAAAACAGAACCTACTAACACATCTATAATCAGTAAGAAGATAAACTCAATAATGGAAAAAAAAATCAAAACCCAAAAGCCTTGCAACAAAGAAGAGCCTGGACCAAATGACTCCAACAGTGAACTAATCCCACCAAGCAGCTGAAGAATTAATGCCACTACTTCTTAGACACTTCCAAAGCACTAAAGACGGACTTATCCAGACTCATCTTAGAGGTCAGCATAACCACGATATTAAATATATATATTGAAAAATTACTATCCAATATTCCTGATGAACATAGATGCAAAATCCTACCTATAACCACAGCACACGGAATTCAATGGTACAGTAAAATTATCAAGACCCAAACTAAAAGTATTTCTCAGTAAGGATAAAGCATAATCTAGCAATGGAAAATCAACCAAAGCATAAAAACCTCATACAGAGATTCACACTTATATTTATATACCTTAACAAATCTTTGAAAAGAACTTAATAAAATTCAATATATTTTTATCAATATAATGAAGAAATTATTTGAAAATTAGACCCATTTTGATATGCTTATGTATGTAAGGAATCTAAAACTCACCAAAAACCCATTAGAATAGATAAAATCAGCAATATTGCATAATGCAAACTAATACACAAAATCAGCTGCATTTCTATAGACTAACAGAAAACAACTTGAAGAGGACTTTATCATCCCATTTACAAATGTGTCAATAAACATAAAATTATTAGGAATAAGAAACCCTAACAGAAGATTCATACAGGGCTGGAAAATATCTGTTTTATTCAATTGAAACTATAGATTTACTTGAATCAATATATTATTGACACTTTTTTTACAGAAATTAAAAATAAATTCTATATTCACAAAGAACCTCAAGTGTCCAAGACAATCTAGAGAATGGAGAATGAATGTGGGAGGAATCACAGTATTGATTTCAAATCCTGTAGCAAAGCTCCAGCCCAGCATGATCTGAAGGCAGAATAATATGTAGAAGAATAAACCCAAAGTCCCCCAAATATAGGACCAAGTCTTTACCAGAGGCCAGTGATAAACCATGAGGAACAGAATGGTGCTGGGAAATCTTTCCATCCATATCCATCTTAGAGAAAAAAAAAAAAGCCAAACAAATAAAAACAAAACATAAACGAAAACAAAAAACCCATTAACTAGAGGGTTTACATACTGAATATTTAAGAACCTAAATTACAAACATTTCAGGAAAAAAACAAACAGGAAATTGTTGGTGATGATTTTTGGATAGACCACGACAAGCACAAACAAGTAGGACTACATTACACTGAACAACTAAACACTGAATAACTATACCCTTAGAAAATGGGAGAAGAACCTGGTGCTCAATACTCCAAATAACAAGAGACATCTAGGACTCACTCACAAAACAAGCAAAAACCGACGTCAAAGAACAAGAAAAATGCTGTTTGAAGAAAACAAAATTCTTGAATAGGATGTCTCTAAAGATATACAAATGATCACTAGGTATTTAAAAGGCACTCAACAGCAGTATTATAAAAGTTTTATAAATATAAAATAAAGACTATATACACACATACATATGTATTCCGATACATCACACACACACACACACACACACACACACACACACACACACACACAATCTTTCTATTCATTTCTTGGTATATTTTTCTTGGACTTGCCATGTTGCCAGGAATGTCTTTTGTGTGTTAACATCTAAGAGGGTGCTAGAAGAGGGCCGGCAGTAAGTACTGCTCATCCAGAGGACAGACGCTCAGTTCCCAACACCCACATCAGATGGGTCACAACTCTCCGCAACTCTAGCTCCAGATTTGATACCCTCTTCTCGATTCCACAGGCAACTGCACACAGATGCACATGCAAACACACACACACACACACACACACACACACACACACAGATACATCATCAACAATGTAAGTATTTTAAAATATTTTTAACATTTCAGAGGGTATATAGAAGTCCCCCTCTCTAAACTCATCAGGTAACACGGATATCAGTGCCTTTCTTCTCAGCCCTAATTCATCCCTGCCTCTTCATAGTACAGAGCATGTAAAACCCTGCTGGCCTTTACTAAGTGGTGAACAGCTTCCAGTTAAGCATATAGTTATCACTTAACCTTCCTGTCTCCATCCACACAAAGTTAGGAGCTAGAAGCTCTGGAGACCACCCTTCATGGCGATAGGAAGCATAAACTGAAACATGAACAGATCTGAAGGTCTGGAACTGGAAGAAAGGAATCTGACAGAAAATGTACCCAGGAAACTGGAATACATCTGAACTTCAAGTGGAAAAGTTTCAAGACATAAAAGCCTGTATGCATGTACATGTGTGATTGGAAGTAAGGTAGTTAAATAATATACTAGAGGGCTAGTCAATCTATGTAAGAACTATTTATGAAATCAAACCTTGCTACCAGTCTGTATTTAGGGTCAGCTTACTATATTGCCTACGGAACAATTAGAACAGAGCCTATCCATTTCCTATCCATTTTCCTGATCATGTTTTTATCATGTACATATAACTTTGGCTAACAAACACATACACACACATGCACATACATGTACCCAAGGACAGAGAGACAACAATAGAGAAACAGAGAGGTACTAAGGGTCAATTTACAATGCTATGGTGTTTGATGTGGCTTTTTTGTATACCTTAGCATAACATGATACATGTTCAGTCAGTGTTTTGTACAGCTCGGTTGGGCATGAACAGGCTCTCCCTATTTTAAGCTGCTGACAAGCTTTAAGATACTCCATACTAAATGGAACAGGAACTTTCATGCGAAACCTAGTCCTAGTGACTTGGCACTACACAATAGCAGTTTATTGCCTGCATTCTGAGTGAAAATGCTAATAAGAATGACTACATCTTGTTTGTGATTAAAAGCTACCACTTGCCCAGCACAAACCATAAGATACAGACTAATGACTTGTTCATGCAAAGAAAATAATTTACGAATTTTCTAAAGTGGATCAGGAACACATGGGCATATCAAAATCAAATCAAAAAATCTAGGTTCATGAACTTGTCAATCACACCAGATCAAGGAAGGAAGGAAGACCATTATCACCACCATCTACTGAATTGCCATATTATGCAGTGCATGCATTATAGAATCTATAGCTGATAGGCTCCTACCTCCTGTGCCAGGGACTTCAACTCAACAAGGTCCTGGACCTGTGCTTGAATAAGCTCTGCTGTGAACTACTTCCTGACTACTTCAGCCGGTAGTGGGCTGTAATACCTCATCACGTGACTCTGCACCACGTGACCCTGAGTGTCCATCGGCTCTCTGTCTTTTCCTTTAGTAGTCTCTCTAACTCTCTGAAAGCCAGTCTATATGGTACCATGTGATCTGGGAGTTAGTTGTAATTAAGACGAGAAGAAAAGAACTTCTGACTGCCAAGGACCCTTATCAAGTAATGTCAGGCTTATCTGGTGAGTGGCAGGCAAAGTAATTGACACAGCTCACAGACTTCAATAAACTGTCATTGCAGGGAGACGTGTGCACCCATGTTTTCGATAGTGTCCTCAGAGCAGTACAGTTTGGTTACCCACTGCACTTTACCTTTTGTAAGTACAGAACGGTTCCCTTCAGGACAGCATAGAAGGTTTTCCATCCCCGCTTTCCTCTGGGAGCTAAGAAGGGAAAAATGTAAAAGTTTAGTTGACAAAAATCAGCATTTCAGAAGAACAGTTTAAAACTTCAACATGATGATAGGTTTTTTTTTTTAATGTTCTGATTTGTTAGCTATCAATGGGATGATGACTAAAAATTCCTTTAAAGCTATTTGTTCTAAAACACTATCCATGAATTGTTGTATTTCATCCTCCCAGTAATCCTGCCGAGCGGGCATTATGACTTTCCTCTTTATTTAAAATGAATGCAGAGAAACAGAGCTGGAAACAGAGCCCTGGTAGCACAGCTCTACCCTCTGTCCTCCATGACAGATGGCTCCCAGAAAGACAAAAACAAAACCCCAGGAAAACAAAGACAGGGAGATGAGAGATACATATGAATTCAAGAGACATGTCAAAGCGGAGATTTGAAAGGACTGCTCCCTTTGCTTCTCTCACAATGCTTCACCAAAGCACAGCCCTGGGTCACTTCAGTGGCAGTCTCTGCAGAAGGCTGATGCTGATACTGCCACAGTGCCATGTCTCTTTCCCTAGACTCAGAACGATTTGAGAACAGACCTCCTGAATCCTTAGCATTCACAGATCCTGTAGTATAAGCAGATTTAGGCGCTACCTCAAACATTCCTATAGTCAGTTCATTCATAAGTCTTACTATTCCTTTAGTTTTTCTAGACTATAAAGCAAACTTTCTCTACCTACTTCACCAGTTCTATTAATTCAACTAGTCACTCAAGCACAAACACAGATCAGACAAAAGTTTATCACTTATTCTAATAACACTGAATTGTGGGTCTAGAAAATGTCATCACTTGTATGCTGTTTTCCTGAACATGTTAGCGCAAACACAGGGGCAGGGGCATTTAGTCAGCCGTTAAGTATACATTTGGCTTTTTTAATTTGGGCACCCGATTAATTTTTGGAAATACTCATATACAAATATCTTTTAGCTGAATTATCAGGACTCTCGGCTTGGGATTCAGGTAACTATCCACCTACAGAGTCCAAGTGTTCTTGCCAGCAGCACACTGAGATGGCCACCTGGCAAGAAAGACCTCAAAACATCCGCTCTGCGGGTTTCTAGAGGAAATAGAAAATACCATCCCTTCTGTTTCTACTAGGTAAAATTTAAAGCTATGTGCTGAAAATATTTGTTTTAAAAAAAGGTACATTATAATTTCCTTTGTGAAAAAAAAAGAAAAAGGTGAATTAACACGAGGGAGAATTTAGCAGGTAGTCATGGCACTTTAGGAGACGATAAATTCTGATCCTGCCCACATGATAATCAAACACATAGGAGTGACCATGGGCTATGCCACCTGCTTTGAAATGGGCTCTGAAGTAGCATGGTATAATCTAGAATTCATGTTATATCAGAATTGATCCCTTCCTGAAATTTCATACAATCTCTGAGGACTTTAGCCCATATATTAATATATGTGGACACTTTGCATAACTTTGTATAAGCAAAACACTGGCTAAATGCTGGTCAGAAACAGAGAAAAGCCTGTTTCCTACAAGATGTGTGTATATGTATACACACACACACACACACACACACACACATATATATAGGGGGGGGGTGGTCCTAGTGTTGAGTCAGAGGCTTTAAGACTAGTGTAGGAGATCTTGATATAGCTTCAATGCAGAGATCTATAGATCTCTTTTCTAACATGAGGTAGAGATATGTCTATGAAGCCAAGCAGAGGTTCTTTAGCATCACTAGAGCACACCTATCAGAAACAGATTCTGAAGAGCAGCTCATGTGAAATAGCAACCTAAACACTGCCCCCGAGGACCAATGCCAATCACCTTTACTGTACTTGCTACTTTTCCATCTTCCACAGATGTGTAAGATGTAATCTGGTCCTTTTTCTAATTATAATTACAGTCTTTTATAGTTATGACTGGCATAGTCTGGTCAATTATAACTGAGTTAAGCAAGTGTTCACTGACTACAGTCAGTTTGCAGTAAATCTTCTCACCACAAAGCTCTGAGTAAAGAACTGTTATCACTTCCATTGACTCAGGGGACTGTGGGTTGTAAATAAGTGAACTGGAAAAGGAGGACTGCTGTGCACAGTGGTAGGCTGAGAGGCTCTCTGATTTTCGCCAATACCATCTCCATAGAGTTGCTATTGAGACTGCAGAAAGCTAGGCTTATCTTGCCAAACACAATGGGTTGGACACCAGGAATGAAGAACAACTGTGGGATGCATGGAGACTGGCTATACATTCATGTGCTATTTTTCTAAAAGCTGGCAGTGGCTCTAGAGATGGTCAACAGTGAAACTATCACTAACTCTTCAATATCCTGAGCCAATCATTAGTCTTATCTCTGTTCCACACTGAAGGATGTTATTTTGAGCTATAACATGAATAATTCCTAACACAAACCTCATACTATTTCCTGATAGAATGTTTCTTTTCAAGATCGCATCATGACCTGCCCCTTAACTTTAATTAGGTCTCTGCTCAAGTGTTATTTCATCCAGGAGCCTTCTCCCTACTCCTGTACCATCGTACATACTCCCTTCAGTCTCCAAACTTAACATTCTCTCTCCTTCCAGAAACATGACATGCTTTCAAACATAACAAATGCTCTCCTTACTCTTTCTCCCTTTCTCCTGTCTCCTGGAATTCAACCTCCAGCATCAGGCATGCGAGACAGACAAATGTTCTATCCTTGAGCTGCATCTCTGTTCTAGCTTTAATTTCCCTTGGATTATTTAATACTTGCATACATTTATCACAAGTATTACACAGCACTCTCCTCAAACTAGAATGGAACCCCCCAATGTATGCTGGGTTGTTGGTATCTACAGAAGATAAATGCTCCATTCCCAACTAAAAATGTCAAAATGTCCTAAATAGGCAGATAAACAACATATGACCCAGCAGATATTAATATTATGGAGAAGACTGTGTACCATCGGACATGGTAGTTTATGACCATAACCCCAGCAAGTAAGCACTCAGGAAGGTGAGGCACAAGGACTGCCATGAGTTTCAGGCTAGCCCAAATGGAGCTACAAAGTTCAGGCTATCACAAGCTACAGTGTAAGACTCAAGTTTCAGAACACCAAATTAAAAAAAATTCACTTAAGAAAAACATTAATTGTTCCATTAAGATGATGTTGGATATGGGATAAAATATCAGAAAATAACCAGGCTTATAGGAGCTAATATAGCTTGACAAATTATGAGGATATTTGATTAAGGAGGGTTGATTAAGGAATGAACAGCAGGGACAATTGACTTTAAGACTCCAAAGATTCTAAGAGGTTTGGGAATTCTTATAAAGTGGATCTGGCTGAGGGAAGATGCTGGAATACTTGTCTTAGTAAACTTTAAAAAGTTGAGCATTGAAAACTCTTACTGTAGTAAGGACAGTGACTTCACTTAAGTGAATGCTATAAACACTGAGCTAAGAAGAGCAAGCATACTAATGAGTTAACATCATGCCCTCGGCTCTTTATAAGATTTACAAAAGGGTTAGTGCTCAGATTCTTACAGTCTATCTCTGAAGTTGCAGGTCACTGCTAATCAGGGAAGGAGGGTTATTGGTGACCATCAAGCCATTTTAAGTCCAGAAGCACCTTGTGACCCGTGGGCTGACAAAGCCAGAGGCGCTGCTGAGCATGCAACTCTACAAATAGCAGCTCAAGTCAAGTGCTGTAACTGTGAAACACCTAAGGCTCACCAGCACTTTAAAATGCCTCTAGGCAAGAGTTGTTTCAGGTCAATAAAAATAATTCCCAGTGGCAAGGAAGAGCAGCCCCAGAGAAAATTTGTTCTTTAACAAAAGGGACACAGCATGGCCGGTTCTCTCAAACTTGGGAGCTCTATTAAGACTTCAGCAGCTTCTGAAAGGTAACCCTCACCCCTGAACACTGCCCACTGCCACAGATTTTATCCCAAGTGATGCCTCCATATGTTTCCTGCTTAGGTCTTCATAACTGTGGCCAAGTGTCTTGCATTTCTCTGACTTCCTAGGATTTCAAGTGTTTCCCACCTTTCCATAAAAGGGTGACCAGCGTGTATCTCCCGAGAGCAGCAAGTCACTGAAGTGATGCTAAAACACTGTCAGCCAATCAACCATCCTATACCCCTCATCTGTTTGCTATAAATGGCTCAGCCAGCCCTTTGTTTTCTGGGTTCCCTACCTGTGCTTCAATCAACTATAGATACTGATCTTCCCCTCCTCTACCACCACTGCCCCATTCCCTGCCCCCCTCCAAAAAAAGTGCCACAAAGGAAAACTTGAGTTTGTTGTTTGCCAAGCTGTATGCTGAATTCCCAAGAGTGATGTAGTCTCCTGCTATTTCTCAGCTTCTCAGACTCTGGCATTCCTTCCTTGAACATCCTTCACCTGGAGTCTACCTCATGTACCTGTATCTAGCTAGGGCTGCATTCCACTGAACATAGAGAATTTTTTATTTTTCAATTCCTAAACAACAAAGTAGAACATCTATGGTGTTTGGCATTACCAGTAATGGAGAAATGAGTTAAGTTCATGGGGGATGCTCACAGGTTATGTGCAAAATATCCCATCAGAACACAGCAGTTTTGGAACCAGAGCTCTGCAGATAGAAAGGGATGACTGTGCAACAGACTTACATCAGAGAGAAAATACCTACAATCAGACCTTAGTCATTACTGTTTTTGAATTATAATCACGTGGTAATAAATGTATATTTTTCTATATTTGTCATTGTTTCCCAAGCATTTTATATTAATTACATTTGACTATGACTTTAAAATACTCCATTGCATTAATATATATCTAACTAGCAAATGTTCTAGGAAACATACAAATATTTATCTAGAATCAGTAGCAAAAATAAAACACACAAATATAGTAACAATACACTACATAAAATTATAGATTAGCAGTCTAGGGACAACTGTTATTACTAACATGATGATGTATTAATTGTAACATTGTAATAATAAACTTGTTGTTTTAAAAAAGGATAATGATATATCATGTTATTCAGCAA